TTGAGCTTAGAATTTGTACACTGTTAGCTCCCAGAACACAGTAATCCTTGTGACATAATGAAACGACCTTCCTCCTTAATGACCTTCACCAAAATGTAAATTGAAACGTGCTGATTAGATCGCCTGTATGTATCTGTGTCATCACAGGAGACACAATGCAATTTGCAATTCATGTAATTGGTTTCAGGAAACTATTGTCACTTGAATGGGTGACTGTAGATGGGGTTTTGATTGGTCATCAGGTTTACTGGAGTCTGAAAGATCATAAATGCAAGTAACACTAACACTATTATTAAGTCACACACTCTACAATTAACTATCACATGTAGTAGATCTTCTTAGTCTGCTTTGTCTTCACCAGTTGTCTGGTAATGACTTCAGTGCCATGGCTTCCTCAGTTTCCATGTTCATGCCTTTACTGGCCGGTGACTGTTTCAGAGCTAATTTTGCATTGCTACACAGTGATTTATGACAATAGGGGCTCCTCCGCATTCACACCTCCACCAGGAGTGACTGTCTCACAATAGCCTCAGAATTAGGCTGGCCTGTCTGCATGCAGACTCTCTCTAGATTGACTGGCGTTGATTGGTCAGTTAAATTGCTGCTGGCCCTTGCCAGCACAGTTACTCCTGGCTTCGGTATCCCCAATATCCATGACCAACATTTTTATTCTCTCCTAGACATGTACTTTTTTCAAAATGGGATCTTCTCTTTGAGGAAGGAGGGGTCCGTCATTCTGTTTGGATGCTATGTTTGTGGCTTTATAGTTTCAGCAAGAGTGTATTCATACTCTCACGGCGTTCAGGTCGTTATGAACCCTGTGCATCCTTTGTCACTGCACTATACTAAGTAGCTTTTATACAAGATATCCAGAGATTTCCTGTTAATGAAGTCTTGTGCAGCAGTTTATGCCATAACTTATGTAACTATTTTGAAACTGCAGATAGTCAGCTGAATGGTTGTAGACTTGACCACTGCCAAATTTCCTATGCCTGGCTTCCCCTTGTTCAACACCATGAACATTTGGATTTATATGGTTTAGAATTAATTCTGCCTGGGCCCTACATAATTAAGTTACGAGTATATAGTCATACATATAAGGAATTTTGAAAGCCATGTACAATTCACAGACCTCTCAGATTTTTGATAGCGCAGAGTGCTGTGTTCTGCAGACAATGCAATTTCAAGAGGTACGCATCTGCCGCATACTCCCAGGTTGGACAGGCATATGTTATGAATGACCTAATCAGAGCATTGTAAAGTGTTAGTGTAATATTAGTATTTAAACGCCTCCTTTTGAATGGAGAATAGTTCCTTACATTTATGTACAAGGCTTCGACTGTGGTCATTTTGATATGGTGCCTCCAAGTCATCCTCCTGTTGAAAGTAACACAAGGGGAATGGCTCGTCCATTTAGTTGTAGTGTGTCGTCAGTGACTCTCCAGATTTCTGGAGAAATAGATCACCTGGGTTTTTCTTTCATTGATCTTTTTGTTCAGCACTCACACCACGAATTCACTGCAGTGAGTTCGCGTTGCAGTTTGCAGATTACACAGTGTTCTTTTTTCTGTGTTGCAGAAATACAGGTATTGTCCATGAACAGAGTAAAATGAGTTCCAGGGGCACTGGGGGCATCATTCATATATATGCTGACTGGCTTGTGTTTCGATTTCCCAGATATAGCCTTCACACACATCCACAGAGAACACCACTTCCCACAATTACTCTCTTGTTGTTGCTACGCTGACGTTGCTTTTCGTGTTCCTTTGTTGTGTCACTGTTTAATTTGCCATAACTTAGGAATGGATGTATCTTCTGATTAAACTACTCCAGCTTTCAGCACACTATGTAATGTTGAGGTTCATAATTTTTGTTCTTCACAAGATGTTATTAGGATAAGCAAACCAAGGCAGAAGAGATGGTCTTGTAGAACGGTGCAAGTGCATCTCCATCTTCAGGGTAGACATGTAAGCCACTCTTCTAACCAGAAGTTTTTAAATAGTGTGTTCTTGTGGATCATTGGTGTCTTCCTGCCAGACTAATGAATGAGTGAATGAGGGGTAGGCCACAATAATTCAGCCCTTGCACCACGACCTCAGATGATCCATTGTGCTTAACCTGTCTGATATAGCGGTACCAAAAATAAAAGGTTATTTCAATATTCATTTACAGGTGAGGTAGGAAGATGTATGATACCCCATCTTGTATCAAGATGCTGTGGAAATAGCATACTGAAGTAGCAAGTCAGCTGAAGATAAAGTATTTATACTAAATGGTATTTCTTTTAATTCAAATTAAGCATCAAATAATCCTACATAATAATTTTTGCATTTGTATGCATCAAAGTGTGGTTTTACCTTGAGTGTAGCACTGGCCTTCCAAGTTGCAAGTAGTACAACATGTCTACATTGTATACTTTCTGTGTTATGAAAACCATAGTTGTCAAAGTTCAGAAAGGAGGAACACATTTTAATGTAGCTGCTTAGAGGAGCCAGGATAACACAGTCGGTATAGTGACAGTCTATGGCCTGGACGTCCAGACCGGCTCTGGGGCTCCCGCCTATCTAATGGGTACCAAGGGCTATTTCCCTGGGGGTAATGCGGCCGGTACATGAAGCACCAATATCCTGTATGCATTCTTCTTTGCCCCCATTCATGCAGAGCTGTACCGAAACATTGGGCACCACGCTCCCTCAACTCCACAACCATTAGGCTTCTTTAACTGGGGCTTTACTAAGTGTAAGGTGTACAAAACAAAGGTTCCTGATCTTCATGACTTATGGCAGTGCATTTACAAAGGGGAAAAAAAAAGCATTGACACCCAGCATGCTTCATGTTGGTCTCAGAGCCACTGTGGAATGCTGGGAACAATGTCTTAAAATGGAAGGGGGGCAAGTTGAGTTGTCTGGAATATGTTACACAACAGTGACACAAATAACTTATCTAACATTCATTAACTTTGGAGAAGTGATTCTGTAAATTGGATTGGATATTTAGGATCATCTTGTATTTGAACTCTGCCACATTTTCAAAGGATCTGTTAGCTGCCTTTATATCATGATTTTTCCCTGCATTCTGGTGATGAGACAGCAATTTATACCTAGTTTCCTCTGTGTTTACTTCTAGACCCATCTCCTTACTACCATTAATGAAAGTTTCTGTGTTTTTCTTTATGATATATATGTTATCTCCCAGTAGATTCACATCATCTGCGTAAACCAGCAGCTGATGTGTCCAATTTATTTTCAGTCCCATATGGTTTTCCTGGACCTTCCTAATGGGATATTTTAAAGCAGACATGAAAAGCAGTGGTGATAAAGCATCTCCTGCTTTTTGACAATTCTGGATAGGAAAATTATCAGACAAATGTTTGCCATGAGGACTTTACTATATGTTTCGTTTAAACAAATTTTAATCAGCATAACTAATTTCATGGGTACTATATGTTTCGTTTAAACAAATTTTACTCAGCATAACTAGTTTCATGGGTACTAAAAACTCTGAGAAGATAATGTACAATACTTCCTTCCTAACTGAATCATAGGCTTTCCTGAAGTCTATGATTAGCTAATATACAGGTACTATGCTACAAGCCGGAAGGTCACGGGTTCAAGTCCCGATGAGGTCATTGGATTTTTTTCAATTGACCTAATCCTTCCAGCTGCACTAGGCCCTGGGGTTTACTCAGCCTCTAACAGAAATGAGTACCAGGAATTAATTAAATAATTTTCCTGGGGAGTGAAGCGCAGCTGGCACATGAGGCTGAAAACCTTACTGCCATCTTTGAGCCGATTGTCAAGGTAATGTGGGACCCTTAACGTCTCACAACCCTATGGGCCTTCACGGCCTGTTACAGGGATAGCTTTACTTTTACTTTTTATTCTCTCATTTTACTCCCATTTTTTTCTCCAATATCTGACAAATGCAAATATCTGATTAGTACTTTATTTATTACATTGAAACCCACACTGATGATCATCAATGATTTCATCTATATATGGACTTAACCTTGAGAGAAGGACATTGGATGAGTTTGTATGAAGTTGTAGCAGTGATATCCCATGATAATTACCACAGTCAGCCTTATTTCCCTTCTTGTGAATTGTTACAATAAAAGCCTCCTTCTACTATCAGGGATTTCTTTCTTATTCCAAAGAGAATTAATGAGTTTATGGATCTCAGACTGCAATGTTTCACCTCCTGCTTGAATCAGTTCTGCCAGAATTTGATCACTACCTGGTGATTTATATCTTTTCAACTTAGCATTAGCAATTTCCACCAAAAAAGTGCTAGGATCAAGCACTAATGGCTCAGCTGTATGCATTTCTGTCAGCCTAATATCACTCACCCTATGTACATTCAATAACAGAGAGAATACTTTTTCCACATATTCAAAATATTATGGAACTATGCACCATTCTCATCCTTCATTAAGTTATCTCTAGGTTGGTAAACCCACTTAAATTCATGTATTCCTTGGTACAGGTCTCTATAATGTTCTTGTTCTTACTTTCTGTTGCATGAACATTAATTTTACCCTTCATAAGATCCCTCTTTTTATTCCTGAAGTGCCTGCTGCCATCACGTCTCATATTACTGAGATTATCCCCAGTCATTTTGCTCAGATCCTGTAACCACTGCAGTCTGGCTTGTTTCATTTGATCTAATAATCATGAGCATCCATCATCCAACAGTGGCTCTCAATAAAAAAATCTGCTCACTGAATTAGGAAATGAAATACTGCTGGCCTATAAGTTCTTCCTACATGTGGCTATGGGCTTGAATCCAATGAACTTCCTGTACACAAGTCTGTGATTTGAAGGAATAAGGGGGTGTAACAATATGCATAAATTTTTACATTTTAGAAAAGTATTTTGGTTGAATCTTGCTTTAAATGATATTCAGTAAGAGATTATCTATCATGAGGACATGTCCCTCAAGTAATAGTGCATTAATGACAGATATGTGAAATATTGGATTGGCCTCCTCGACTGTTGCAGGGGATCGGAAGCCTATTCAGTGCATTGAAAGTGGTCCGGTTACTACGTTTGGGTCGCGTGGTGCGCAAGCTGGATCGCTATCTGGAATACGGTGCCGCCATGTTGATATTGCTGCTCTGCTTTTATATGCTTGTGGCGCATTGGCTTGCGTGCATCTGGTACTCAATAGGACGCTCAGATGCCGATAATGGGGTCCAGTATTCATGGCTGTGGAAGTTAGCTAATGTGACACAGTCACCTTATTCATATATCTGGTCCAACGACACCAACTCTCCAGAGCTCATCAATGGACCATCTCGCAAAACGATGTATGTCACTGCACTCTACTTCACAATGACCTGCATGACCAGCGTTGGTTTTGGAAATGTTGCTGCAGAAACGGACAATGAGAAGATATTCACCATCTGTATGATGATAATTGCAGGTAAGGCACTCTGTACTTCATTCCTAACAATTTGCGACTGTTTTCCCCTCTCAGCTTCATATTTTGGTACGTCGAGAAGAGGTGACGCACGAAAGAATGATGCGAACATAAAAAATGTACATTCATACACAGTGATTCACTTGGGGGAGGCGCTGAATTAATTGTTGTAAATCAAGCAATAATATACCAATGAAAACAAACTTAGAAACATTTTGTATTTGCAACACTGACTCGGTGCCTGCCTGCCTGCCTGCCTGCCCGGCTCGCGCTATATCCTTCAGTCTGTCATCCCTCCGAGTATCCTGGCTGTAACATATGCAATCATAGAGAGTCATGTCAGCATCTGTATCCAGGTGGAGGGAAAACAAGCACAACATATTGTTACATGTACACCCATTACTAGGCAGCAGGTTTATAAACAAGTTCCCGCGAAGATGGATTCTTGGTAAGCAGTCCGTTGCTAGGTTACGCAACAATAGAGGAGGCTGTTTTTTCTATATCGTTTGCACCATGATCAGGGCTGGTAAGGGACCAATGAACTTGCATTCTGACATGTGACATGTGTTTTCTATGGTGTTTGTGCTGAGTGCTTATAAGAGAAGTGAATTCAGAGTATGGGAGAATTTTTAATTGAGTTCCGAAGTTCCATGGTGATGGAAGAACAGAGAACAAGAAGACTTCATAGTGATATGAAGTGCTAGTTTCTGTGTTGAGGTCCACTGCCAGGAGATGACTAGTGAAGACAGAATCCTAGTGTGTGTGTGCAACTTTGAACCGGAAGTGTGCAAGTCAGCTATAGCACTGTGTTAATTGTAATTCAGAGAGACTGTAACCGAAATGCCAATAAATCCAATCATCCAAACTAGAACCCATTATTTTCATCACACGTACCACCTTATATGTGAGAATGTGCTGTAGATCAGCAATTTGTGTATTAACCAAGGTATGTACTCACCAAGTGGCAAATTATTGCATGAGTTGTAATTATCAATTCTGAGCTCCTCTGAATGAATCACTCTGCATGCATAAGACACAATTTTCCCCTTCTTTTTTCTAAGGCAGTAATAATCTTTAACTTATTGTCAAGAACTGCCAGCAGAACTTCACACATGCTGATTATGAGGACACACATGGCCTTTGAAAATTTGGTTATTTTTAATTATCTGACATGGCTAATAGCTTGAATTTCATTAACTTTAGCCACCAGAAAAGGTTCACATCATAACAATTTGGCTAGATGAATCAATCAGTCAATCAATCAATTTGTTCTGAGAATATATATCTGGAGATACAACCTCCGGATATAGAACTGGTCAATTACTACATATATTAAAATAACATACATATCATATATGAGTCAACAATACTATGGAACTTAAATACCTACAGATTTAATACACATCAATCATACAATACATCGTCCCACTTTCAACAATTCAATACCAAAAGAAACCCAACATCCAGCATTTTCTTTTATAGATTAAGTGAGGAGAGAATGCGCCAAAGACGAAAACAGTTTGTGATCTATTTCTTTCGGTCAGAGGATGTGAAAACTGATGAAATTTAGAATGGTAATGACTGCGAACCAGAATATATTTCAAGAGTGGGTGGAAATATTCAGAGGAGTGTCAATAATGTTATTTATGGATGAAGTTTGTGGCAATCAACTGCAAAATGTAATTTTTGTGTTTTTGACCATTATCCATTGGCCTGCTTTAGATTTCAACAAAGACATTTTGGAGACTGGACTCTGTCTCCAGGTGAAAGCCTACTCATTTGGGCCCAATTGATAGAGCTTAGTCCCTATCTCAGAAACACTGTTTTTTAATTAAAAAACAAGGCATGGATATCATTCAAAAACACAATAACTGTAATGATATATTATCACAGACTTTTAGTTATTAATAACTGTGAACTGCATCAAGGTTAGTGTAGAGGTGTTGAGGCTAAGTAGCAGATCAATCAACACATTCAGGATAATTGAAAAATCAAAATTTGATGTAAGAATGCTGCAGAATGACATGATGAACTTATGATGTAAGACCCAAATGGAACCATTTTATTAAGACTGAATCAGGAAATTTCTTGACTGTTGTGCTAACTATGTTAAAAGGTAGGGTACTTGAAAAGGGTAAAATATGTCTTAAGTACTGTGTAATTATTTTGTCAAAACTTACCATAAAGCATCTGATTTATTTAATTTCATTTTTATCTACTTTCAAAGTGTAGCAGTATTTGAATTTGGTTAAGGTCATATTGTCAAATAATAGTAATTTTCTCTTTCATGAAGCACTCTTATATGCAACCATCTTTGGTCATGTAACAACCATCATCCAGCAGATGACATCAGCAACAGCCAAGTATCATGACATGCTGAACAATGTAAGAGAGTTCATGAAACTGCATGAAGTGCCAAAGGCTCTATCAGAACGAGTTATGGACTATGTGGTATCCACATGGGCCATGACAAAGGGCCTGGACACCGACAAGGTAAATCAGGTCAGGCAAGTTTGCTCTGAAACAAACTAACATTGGTTGGAGCTGCTTTTTGGGTCTGTTTCTCTCTTCCACTATCTAATTTTTGCTCCTGGCCTATTTTGTCTTTAAATTAGGTTAGCTTTTGTTTTTGCTGCTTATATCTTAAACAGCACTCCAACCATGTTACTTATTTCAGATACTAATTTTACCATCTTTTTTTTTTTTTGCACGGTAAAGAGCTTACTTGTGCTATTTTCCACAAAATATAGATTCAGTGGTACTTAAGTTGATGATGCTTGCTGATGTTATGATAGTGTTGTTGTTAATGGTCATGCAAAGCATGATAATTGAAAATTTAGAGAAAATACACCTCTCATTTTAGAGAAATGTAACTTTCATATGTTGTCATAAGGAGGCGTGATGTAAAATAAAAATTATCATGAAACAACAGATTAATTTCTGGAAATATCTGCGGTAGTCTGCAAATTAACCCGTGAGCATATTATACTTACAAAATTCTAGTGTAACAGTGTAACATGCATTGAGAATTCAGCAGAAAGTCTCATTATCTTTTATATGAGCTTTAGTAATCTTAAATTTCTCTGGTTTACTCCAGTGCTTTTTCCAGTCTTACATGTTGTTAAATAAGGCATTGAGGGGGACAGATATTTAATGCTGCCTCCAATAAATATCCTTCAATAATAATCAACACATTGTGCACTAACTTCTGTACATCCACATCAAAATATTATCAGTACCCACAGAATATATGATAGCATAAGCAACTGGCTATGGGCTGGACGACTGAGGGGTCGGGAGTTCAAGTCCTGGTAGTATCAAGAATTTTCTCTTCTCCAAGTCATCCAGACCGGCTCTGGGGTCCACCCAACCTCGACTCCCCCATACGCCTTCATGGCATAGTGCTTAATTAGCTAAGCACAGGGGAAACTTTAACTTCGCCCACAAAGAAAGAAATACACAATATATTGAAACAAAAGGCTACTCGCTTCTACATGACCCACCACATAACTTTTTTCATGCAACATGTTAATGCTCAACAGTTCATCCCCATGGCAACCTGAAGTCCGTGAATCCCAAGATTTAATCAAATCGTTACATTATATCTGCATAAGGCTGGAATGGTAACATGGTTTTACAGTTATGTTTCAGAACACTGATACATGAAGTGTCCCAAAACCTTCTCGTGTGTGTCAGTCTTGGTCCTTCTTGTGAGTTATGTCCAGACACTTCTGACTTGTATTCACAAAATGAAATTCTGAAATTAAGAGAGACTCCACTATATTTTGTCATAATATTGTCTGCAGCAGGTCACCAAAAATTTGGCAACAGAACACATGTAACAGAAAAGAAATGACATGAACTCGCATCTAAACCAAGTGTCACAAAGCAGATAAACTTTCTTATGGAATTTAAAAAAAGGACAGATGGAACCGAATCTTGAGATTTCTCTGCTTTTTCCATTGAAAATTCACTGAATACAAAATTTCTTCATATTTATTGTTGCAGACCTAAAATCTGGAAAATGGAAGAGAAGTTGTCTGTACAAGGCAGCTTCATTGATGAGAGTTACAAGAGAAATTGCAAAATAAGAGTATAAGTTAGATACAGGAGGTGAAAGAGGACAGTTGTTATTTGGACACAGAAATCTTACATTCCTACAGCCCTCCATGAATATGTAATCTCTTCCACAACTAACTTATCTTTTCCCCAAGTTAGATGGACATTCCTTGACTTTTGCATGTTCATGCAGACAGACATGCTCCGTTAACATTCTGATCTACAATTTTAGAGTCAAATTTAATTGATGTCCATAATTATATGTGTGTTTTCCATGTGTCTTTTTCCACAGGAAATTGGACCTGATAGGAAATCTGCTCATGGCCAAAATTCTGTAATATTCATGAACAACAAATCTCTCTTTTAAACTAAAGTTTTGGAGTTGCTCTATTAGCACAGCTTTGTTATTAGCTTTGGTAGTAATACACATGGTAGATATGAAAAGAAAATCACTGCATGTTAAGTAAAAAATTTGTAGTTTATAGTGTGTTGATATTAGTTGTATTTCTTCTTAGGCAATGGTACAGCCAATAGCTCTGCAAGTAGACTTAGTAACTTGAGAGGTATTTTGTGTTCTGCCATTTCTTAGAATTAAATGTTTATGTGTACTGCTAATCAAGAACTTAATTGATGTTTTATAAAAACCTGTTAATGGAGGAGAATTTTGTGTAGAAGTACAAACATATTGTAACGTGTTTCGTTACTGAAGATGCCGTACGGATTGTTAATTGGTTTATTCAACAACCTACAAATCTCGGCTACAATTAATTGTAACACAGTTGCGGGGTTTCACACTTTATAACCCTAAAACAAAATCTCTTAACACTATCTTCCAGAGTCTTCACGTATTAATAGCGTGGGAGCTATACAAGTCTCACTGAATTACACACTCCAAATATAACTGGTTATCACGAACTATCACTGATTCTCGCACATGCGTCTGTAGCTCGTAACTTGTGATCTGAGAACTTGTTGATAACACACTGACTCTCGATTGCTGCTCAGCCGGCTTTTATTCCGTTCGCTGTTGCTAGGGTCGCCCGCCACGTCACTACTGTGACGTGGTGTATAGCCTAGCAACGCTGTTCGGAGTTGTTGACTGCTGCCTAGCAACCGCGATATCCCTTGGTGACTTCACCGCTGTTGACTCGCGTTGCATAGCTACCAGGTTGCGGGGACTCGGCTAACTTCGGCTCCGCTCGGCACGTTACCGTGGGGAGAGTGGCGGGGTGATGACTCGCCTATTACGAGAGCGCTACGTTACCCCCACGTGCCGCTGGGAAGGTAGAGGTCCTCCGTTGTGCAACATGTCACAATATGTTTTGGAAAAAAATTGTTGAGCTCATCTGATAACCATTTGCACGTGGCCCATATTACATAGTTTTTCAGACATTCCAGTGTATTATGGGATGAAAATTCATCATGAACTATATCACATTCATTAAAATGTTTTCCAAAGCATGATTCTTTATGGATGTGTCTGTCTGTGGTAATAATTAATTCATATGCCCCTTTTTATATTGTGTTTTGGTAAACTGGCTATGTATATCTAAGTTTACTACATTCTACTGTGTTAGGTGTCACAGAAGTTAGAAAGGAGTCACTTTTAGAGGCAGTAATAATGTTGTCACGTGATGGAGTGACTATAGAAGAGATTTGGATTGATAATCAGATTTATTACACACTTATACACACAACTTGTATCTACATGCAACTATAGTACTATTGCTAATTCACACACTCTCCAGTTTACTAAAGCACACACTTAAGTCTTCTCACCCTGCTGTGTCTTCACCAGTTTTCTGGTAATGGCTTTCAACAGTGAATGTTCTCCTTCTACTGGGTTACTCAACTGTCCTTAGCCTTAGCCACAGCAACTCCCTGACTCACTCAATCACTTACTCACTCACCTCACCTCACCACTAACTAACTCCTCACTCTAGTTCCTATAACATCTCAGCACAGACCTTGTAGAAAATACCGTTCCTCTGTTGCTGTAGAATTGTTGTGTTCATGCCTGTTGGAAGAGCCTTTACCTAGCAATGGCTGTTGTATACTCGTTTATTTCACGGTTTCTGCCTATCAACAGGTCTACATGCCACAATATGTCATTAGTGTACATAATATGGTAATGTATAATGGAAAAATATATGTTGGCTGGCATCCATTTTGGCCAGCAGGCTTTCCATCATCTGTTGCATTTCCACAGCGTGGCGGCATAGCTTCCTACTGCAGTCTTCACATCATGTATCAAGGGGCTGATATCAATCCAACCACTTCTGACACCATCACATATATGAGTGACTATAGATGGGGTTTGGATTGGTGAATAGATTTATTGACTACTTACAGATTGTAACTACAAATCTTACCTCTGTGTAGGCTAGGCAATCCTTTTTATTGAATTTTGTAAGTTCTTCCTTGAACTGGTACTTCACTTTACCTCAGGTTGCTCTGTGAATGAGCATACATTTTAGGAAGGTGTACAACAAATAATTATAACTTATCATTTCCTTAACAGTTTCTGTGCTTCCCTATTGGTTACATTGTTCCTTATTCAAATCACCTTAGTCTTAGGCAGCAAGAGCAATGTTTCTCCTGCTTATGGTCTGCAGATGTTTCATTATATTTGATGTTTTACGTTAAATTGATAACAGGTGTTTTTATAATCCCATTATTCTCATGCTATGTTGCTCCTCATGAGAATTTAGCAAAGAAGAGGAAATTGTAAATTATATACAAAATGGAAATGTTTGAAAATAGCATAAATATTTGAATAATATGATTAAGGAAATATTACTGGGACCTGTAAACCTAAATGCTGCCCTAGGTTATAAGAAATTCCCCTGCTCTTCCTCCCTCTCCCACCCCATTCAGCCAAAGACAGATAAGATTTATGAAACTTCGCCATAATATCATTAAATTTACAAACTCTGCTGTGATAACTGTCACTGGTGTCACAGTCCTAAAGAAAGCTTTATTTGCATTGTTGCATAACATGTTTACATTAATGCCAATTAATGGTCATATGGAAGGAAGAGCAGCAGACATTAATTTCAGTTAACCAAGAGGTAGAATAGAGGTTTATATAGTGTCAGGCTGCCACTTGATTCGTTTTTGCTGTCATACCAACCTTAAGTGTTATGTAATGATTTGCACCTGAATTGTACAATGTTGGAGCATGTTGTAGGCTAGTCTTGCATTCAGGAAATCTATGAGACACGTCAGTGTGAACTGAATTGATAACACTTGTTCCAGGTGCTCAACTATTGTCCGAAGGATATGAAAGCAGACATCTGCGTACATCTAAACCGTAAGGTATTTAATGAACATCCAGCATTCCGTCTTGCAAGCGATGGCTGCCTGCGTGCATTGGCAATGCATTTCACAATGAGCCACTCAGCTCCGGGTGATTTATTGTACCACACAGGGGAATCCATTGACAGTCTCTGCTTCATTGTCACTGGATCACTGGAAGTAATTCAAGATGATGAAGTAGTAGCTATTTTAGGTTAGTGTCTTATCCTATATATTCATATTAATTACCGGATCGATGTTGATTGTTCTGCTAATACATTGCCTCAACATATGGAAACACTGCCCATAAAATAACATCATGTCATATGGTGTCAACCTGTACTTGGATTTATGGAACATGAACACATTCAGATTCATGTTGCTTTAAAACAACAAAATGTATCAGTTGTGTGAAATGGATGTGATATTCTGTAATTCTGTAGGTGCATTGCTTTAGATAAATTGATTAATCAAGAGTATAAAGAACTCTTTTTCTTCCTATAAACTGCAAAGTCACATGCAACTATTCATTTTTAGTGGACACTTAAGTAATATTGGAAGAAGTGAAAACTATAGGCCTATACTGAATCAACAGTCAAGATTACAGCTTCAAATTAAAAAGGCCTATATATAGAAATTGTTTAGTATATACTTGAAAGTCATGTTGTAGTAGGCACAACAATGAAAGAAGAAAACAATGATTTCAGAGCAGTATAAGCTCATTACAAAATCACTTTTTTCACAACTGTGATGACCTACTAAAGCAAGTGAATTTTTTTTGCACAAATTTAGTTGCATTTATCAAGATTGAATGATTTAAGGAGAATGGTAAATTATGTTTTTTTCATCTTTATTTGTATACATGTAGACTATTAATGCAGGTGGGAGCAAGGTGTGGGATTGTCGATGTTCTAAGAGACAACCACGTAAATATGTAACAATTGTATATATAAAATTGTATAAATTGAATGTGCAGAATAGCTGCAAAGCTATGTGGAATGTCAAAAGTTGGCTGACCCTGAAAAGTGCAGTTTGTTCCACCGTGAGTGTGCTTTTAGAATTTGCTCATTTGTAGTATACCAATTCTTTACGGCCATTCAGCCGGTTTGTCCGGCTGGTAATGTGGTGCTGCATATGCCTGTAGGAACAGCTGGTTGTAGGTTGCTGGAGAGTTGTGGCAACTATGTTAGCTGCCTGGTCGCAGAGCGTGGTTGCTGGCGAGTTGCGACAGCTACGTTAGCTGTCTGATAGCAGAGCGCGGTTGCTGGAGAGTTGCGGCAGCTGTCTTTGGCGCAGAGAAGAACTAATGACTCTGATGACTGATTGCTCTGAACTGAATGTGATCACTGATGATTGCAAGCTTTGGGCTCCACTTTTATACAATGCTTGCTGGGCGGAGCTTAAACTTGCAGTTGCGATTGTGAGCGCTGATTGGCTGGCGCACATGATGATCTACAGGTGGGCTGGACATCGAGTGCTGTATAAATACAGGTGGTGGCAGCAACGTGTGGCAATATGATATTGACTAGGAGTGAGTGCTGTCTGTTAGATCGGCAAAACCGTGTGTCAGTATGTGGGATGTTCCCACAAAGGTTTGTTTAAATTCTTATGGAGAATAAAACACTGTGGTAGACTTAACATTTGTTTACAAGTCAACTGATGATTGCTGAATATGTAAGTTGGGGAATGAATGCATAGCATTTCTTTCATTTAACTGTCTTGAAATTAACAAAACTTGACAAAAAAGCATATCTGACATACAATTATGTTTTGCTTTGCTTTACAGCTTCTTTAATATTTTCTTTCCAATAAATAAGTTGTGAATTATATATAAGATAAAGAGTGAAATGGAGATATATCATTTATGGTGTCAGAATGTAACCAGAATTGGAATGTTATAAAAAATTTTACTATAACTCCCCAGTGTCACACCCCATAAGTACCCCTTTGGAGGTTCTTGAGTTGTTTTGTGAGTATATGCAGATGTATTGCAGAGAGAATTTAACAGGATTTCCCACGCTTGCAGCCATACTTAAAATGTGTATATATTGCATAATTACATTTGAGTCACGCAACCTGCATAGCCAGGATAATATACCTTATTATACATTTGAAATATTTTAATAATTTTTTCAGTATTTTGCTTTTTATATTTATGGGGTGTGTTATGCTATTATGTGATTTATATAATGCAAGGTAATTCAAATTGAAGTAAACACTTTATGAAATCTAAAATTTAACAATATATTTAATACAAATATTATGTTTCTGGACATTACCAGCATGGTGTCCGACCTGTAGACTGCCCCAGAAGGCCTCCTTCACATGCTGCAAGTTTTCATCGGTGACTCAGGGATAAGAGAAACTCTTTCGCTTGCAGCTGCATCCTTTGTTTTCAAACTGCTCATACCATGCTTAAACTGACTTTTGTCGTGATGGATCCTTCTAGCAGTGTGTATGAAACTCCCATTGTACATACATAACAATACTCATTTTTACATGCTGTATGACAGAAAGCTTTCTTCTGTGTAGATGCATTTTCACAACATGTGTGCCTCTAGTGGAAAAGAAGAGAATCACTTTTCTGGCCGGTGTTAAGGAATAGCCTACTCAGATTAGTTGCCTGATGACATCACTGTGAAGTGAATGAACAAGTGTATTGTTAGTATTCATATGTGTTTACATCATTTAGAATTGCCCTGTAGTATGACTAGTATGTTATTTATTAGAGATGTGTCTGCTGTTATTCTGAAGCCAGGTTTAAGCCTCGAGGTCAAAACACGAAATGCACTAGCAGATGTGAGTTCTTGGACTTGTAATAGGTTTCCTGGTGCATATACTGGCTGATGAAAATCTTGAATTTAATACTATTACCTGTTTGCTATGTATATCTCTGTTAATATGTATAATGAATGTTTTGTTTAGATGGCATTTTACTGGGAGCCTGAAGACAACCATTGTAAAGTCAAAATATGGCATGATTTTTGTTAACAGGGAATGTGGTTTGTATGTAGTTAACTTTGTAGTACTATAATTTTTGTTGTGTATGACAGAGATTTTGTACTCTAATTAGTAACATTGATAGTTACTGACAAGCTTCAGAAGAGATAATAACAGTTGTCTTAACGAAATAGATTACAGAAATTAGTTAATTGGTTACACAGTTGGCTATACTAAGGCAAAGGAAAGAAGTCCCATGGATGGTGAGGATGACAATGTCAGGGCATCCCACTCTCTGCCTGCTGTTGTAATTATTCTCCTGCCCTCTCTGGCCTATGTCATTTAACCTAAAGTGCACATTTGTAACAAAGGATACCACAGAATGGCTATAAGAGGGAGGAGAATGTGGGGAATTACACAGGAGGCAGAAGTGTGGAAGCCATAAGTAGATGTGAAGGACATAGACCTCTGAGGCTTCTCTCCAAGGCCTCAGTATATTAATTGAGTGGATGGTTGGTTAATTAACTGAGTAGTTACCCGGCTAGTAGTACTTACTGGGATGTGGTGTAATATTTCCTACCAGTTATTAGATTTCTTCACAGACTAACTATATCCACAGCATGGACCTATATGGGAGCAGTGGTGTAATAAAAGGAAACTTCTCTCGAAGCTACAAAAGCATTTAACACCATATGGCATAATAGTGTGCAATAAAAGTCATGGTTTTGCGTTTCTTGATTGAAATAATATGATAAATGTCTAAGCTATTCAACTAATTGAACTGCACAAATGAAATTGAAATTTAACCTTTCAAAATGTTTTAATTACCTCAAGGATTTATAAAGATCCACTGTTGCACTTGTGTGTTGTGTGAATGTCAGGGTGCAGTACAGCCAGGGCAAGTGAAGACTCATTATAGCCATATTCACTGAGCAGAGGCTTCTTTACAAGCCAGTAGTTGCCACTAGGGTAGTTCAAGGTTCAGTTCAGTTATTCAGTATAGAGGGGGTGGGTTTCCCCATGCACCGCGACTAATAGTCTATTGTATGTCCCCCTTTTAATTTCTACTCTCTCCATACCCTACAGATACTGGTGCCCACTATCTCTCCTTTCTGCTAGCAAGGTCGGCCCTCTACTGGCAGTAGTACCCGATAACTCTCCCCTTTCTGCCAGCGAGGTCGGCCCTCTACTGGCATTGGTACCCAATAACTTCTCCATCTACCGGAGGCATTGGAAACTACTTGGGCGGGAAACATTTTGCCTAATTTTGCTTAGAGGTCTCATAGAGACATGAGGATCTTTTACGTGCCGTAAATCTACGACATGGGACCCACGGCTTAAAGTCCCTCCCGGAGGACTTGTTCCCTGAATTTTTCCGCCCTTAAAAATTCCATGACCTCCGCCGGGTTTGAACCCGCGTTCCTTGAGTCAGGAGGGGGGGTAATGTTACCCCTAGACTACGGAAGCTGCTGGTTCAAGGTTAACCTGAAGTTTATTATTTTCCTAAAGAAGTGGGCATGAGAAAAATAAAACTATTTTATAGGCAATTTGTGGCAACACTACACTCGCTGCCTGACAGGAGGCCATGCAGACTGCTTCTACACATTAGGGTTTGTACAAGACTGTTAGACCTTGTTACTTATAAAGTAGGACAGCATTGTATCATCAGATTCCAGGTGAAAGAGAAAGTGAAACTAATATAAATTCTCATTGGTTAACTGCAGAGTATTGGGAAGAGCTCAATCACATACAAGTGGCCATGATTTGTATAGTATGTTTTATGAAGGCCATAAATAAGTCTTGAACCTACTGCATGCTCACAGTAAGTCAGTAGCTAGGGCCGTGCCATAGCTCAAGTGGTTAGTCACTGGCTTCCCACCACGGTGGCCTGAGTTCGATCATGGATCTAGTCAAGTGGGATTTGTGGTGGACACAGTGGCACTGGGGCCCGTTTTCTCTGAGTACTTCGGTTTCCCCTGCCAATCTTCATCCCACCAAATTCTCCATCATCATAATCACCTGGGTCAGGCTACAATAGATCAGTCAGTGGCCACTGTGCCGAGTGGACCCAGTTGGACTCTACCCCCCCCCCACTAAGCAAAAAAATAAGTGACAAAAAGTCAGTAGCTGTGTGCAAGTGAGTTTTGGAACTCAGAAGGAGTGAATTATGTTGATTTTCTCCCACACGGTGTGTACTAGCAATTCAGAAGACAAGACTTGGGAAATTGTCAAGGAAGATCATTCTACTGCACAAGAATGCCATCCATACATAGAATATATGACAAAGATAATATTGTTAACATTGGGCTGGGATTTCAATAACCACCTCACATACAGCTGCAAATACATTGATTTTCATTTATGCAGACCAGTGGAGATTCACCTAGCAGAACAGAAGTTACAAATGGATGGTGAAATCAAATGTGATGTCCTAAACTGGCTACCCAATCAGGATAAAAGCTTTTATGCTTGTGGTACCACTAACTTGCCAGGACAGTGGGAAAAAGTGTATTTATGTACAGATAGAATATCTTCAAAAGGTTTGGGAGTTTTGTGATTATGGCATGTTTATTCTTGCTATAAAAATAAAGTTCAGGTCAGCTTTGAATCACGCTCATAGAAATTCCTGACCTTTTATGGAACTGAATGTCCTGCTCACAACATACTGTCACTAGACCTTATCCTGATCCATTTGAAACCAGTCTTCTCCCTTCTCCACTGGTTTCCAAGATTAATTTAGTATTAACCTCCCATCCCCCATGTGGTCACTTCCATTCAGATTTTCTGATCAAAATTTAGCATACATAGGTAAGTCAATAATTATCCGCAATGTAGCTATAAATTTTATTTCAATACAAATAGAAAACTTACATTAACATCATTTTTCAACATAGTCCCCTTGCTTTTCAACGCACTTGGTCCATCGTTGCACAAGCTTCCTGATGCCCTCAGAAAAGAAGGTTTTTGGCTGAGCAGCAAGCCACGCAGGCACCGCTTCCTTCACTTCTTGGTCCAAGGTGAATCAATGGCCCCTTAATGCCTCTTTGAGTGGACCAAACAAGTGGTAGTCGGAAGGGGCGAGATCAGGACTATACGGAGGATGAGCCATTACTTCAAACTTGAGTTTCCGGAGGGTTTCAGCAGTGTGGGCAGCAGTATGTGGACGGGCATTGTCGTGCAACAACACAACACCTTTCGACAGTAGTCCTCGGCCTTTGCTTCGAATTGCAGGCTTTAGCCTGTCAGTAAGCATCTCACTGTAACGAGCACTGTTTATTGTTGTGCCCCTCTCCTGATAATGTTCCAGTACTGGGCCTTGTGAGTCCCAAAAAACTGTAAGCATCAGTTTTCCTGCGGATGGTTGGCTTTTGAACTTTTTCTTGCTGGGCGATTGTGGATGTTTCCATTCCATACTCTGCCGTTTACTCTCTGGCTCACAATGATGGATCCATGTTTCGTCACCAGTGATGATTCTGTCTAAGAAGACGTCACGTTCGTTACTATAGCAATCCAAATGTTGTTGGCAGATGTCCAAGCACGTTTGTTTATTCAACACTGTGAGTTGTTTTGGGATCCATCTTGCACAGACTTTATGAAACCCAAGTCTGTTGTGGATGATTTCATAGGCAGAACCATGACTAATTTGCAGACGATTTGCCACTTCATCAATAGTCACTCGTCTGTCTAACAGAACCATGTCATGTGCACGCTCAATGTTGTCCTCATTTGTGGCCGTGGATGGTCATCCAGCTCCTTCCTCATGCGTAACACTTGTGTGACCATTTTTTAATTTTTCAATCCATTCGTAGACACTCCGTTGCGGCGAAACACTGTTCCCGTATTGTGCTGAAAGTCTTTGATGGACTGCGGCCCCTGATACACCTTCTGACCACAAAAACCAGATCACTGAACGTTGCTCTTCTTTGGTGCAAACAGAAAGTGGAGCAGCCATGATTAACGGCAAGGCAGAGACGATGGAACTGACCTAGCAACATCAAACCTGTGCAGAAATAATGACGAGGAAACCACACATGACGATGCTGCGCAAAACAACAGTGCTGCCAACAGAAACACAAATAAAACTGCATTGCGGATAATTATTGACTTTCCCTCATACATCCCCCATCTCTCTCATTTATGTTACACACCACACCTGTTTTATCTCCTTTTTTAATTAATGTAATAATAGTTGATGAAGCATGTAAGTTAAATGGTTCACATTATGCAGATTTCCACAGCCTTCTGCTATTTCTTCCATGTTAGGTCCAAACATTTTCTGGATCACTCAGTTTTAAAACGCCCTTCCTCTGTTCTTCCCATAATCTAAGTGACCAAGTTTCATACTCATTCAACATGACAGGTAGATTTATAATTCTATACACTTTATCCCTCACTTTTTTCATAGCATCTGGAAAAAGAAAAGATTCATAATCGAGTTATAATAACCATTCCTCGAATTAAGAGTCATCATGTTAACAAATAAATGCTTTGGTTGACTACAGGCAAAGGTGATGTTTTTGGGGACTCATTCTGGAAGGACAATGCAATTGGACAGTCAGCTGCCAATGTACGAGCGCTGACATATTGTGACCTGCACACAATCAAACGAGACAAGCTCCTTGAAGTGCTAGATTTCTACCAGGCCTTTGCTAACTCATTTGCTCGCAATCTGATCCTGACGTACAACCTCCGGCATCGGGTGAGTGTCTTTATGGCGTTGTGCAATTAGGATGTTCTGATTTTAAATACTTCTTTATAGTATTTGCTATTTGAATTATGTTCTCCTCTTCACTCTGATTAATCCCTTAATGTCAAGTGGTTTGTGTGTATACTTTCTGCTTTAATATTAAAGAACTTCAAATTATACCCACACAGTGTATTTAAGGGTTTTGTATGATTCTCAGAATAAGTAGTGATTATTTTCTTAAATACTATTAACCAGTGAATTTTTGTAATATAAGAACAATGTGTTTCCTGTGAGGTAGAAGCTGAATATTTTAAGTACTACTCAAAAGAAAGCTCTGTGTCAGAGGGTTAAGGGCCTATTGATTCGGAGGTTTAGGTCTCTTTACCTCACACCACGAAAAAAATAAAAATCTTTCTGCATGTCTACATAGTAACAGACTAGAAAAGGCAATGGTTTCCCCCAGGTGCATCTGCAGATCTTAATAAAAGGCTTTCTGTGTACATTATTTTATGACTTAGATACTTTCTGATTGTCTTCTAAAGGCATGTAATATTGGCTAGTCTTATTCTTGTTCTTATTTCAATATTAGTAGCAGTAATGAGGACTGAGAAACACCTTGAATTCTCAACTAAAATGTTAAATGCTAATCACCTAGAGTGGGATATACATCTTCTGATATTTCAGGCATGTTTTCTTGTAGTGAGATAGCCATTCCGATTTGTACAGTATTCCCACTTGGAGATACCTGATTGGTCACTGTGACAACCAGATCTTAATATCATTTATGCACTGACAAATTATCAGTGAGTTGAATAGATGATTTTAGAAAATTGAACAGTTGGCTCCTCACTGTGCAGGAGCAACACTTGTTCCTAGTCGCAATAATTTACATTATGCAACTATTTTAGATTTGTCAAACTTTAGTGTTTATTCTTCCTTAACTTATTTCATAAAATATTCATAATATAGATTCGAATTAATATCATATTTGTAGATCATAATTTCAAAAAGTTTGAATCACATGATCCTAGCATGATCATTAGGAACTTTTGTTGTGTGTTGTTTTCAAAAATAAGACATGCATCACAACATACAACAGGAGAATATACAACCCACCAACCCAAACACACGTGTGCCTCAAGGGGGCTTTTAATTAACGATGTAAGCAACAACAGATGACAACAGTTTCCTTGTCCAATAATTTTAACACCTGATGATGACCACATTGGATGAAACATGTAATAATAAACTTTTAAAAGCAATAACGTTTAGTAAAACTATTCAACTCTATCATGAACTTTGTCGGCCGGCCAGTCGGTTTGGTTTGGTTTGGTTGACTGGGTGACTGCTTCATAAATGAGATTTTATGACTATTGTCATGTTAATATGAAAAATATGGAGAAATCTGATGCAGTTCTGTAACTACATTGACCTCAAGCTAAGTATGTTCTGTAAGTGTTATCTGGAGATGGGAGCAAAATATGGAAACCTTTCCTGATAACAATATAATGCATTATTATTTAGTGATAGGTAGGCTTATGAATTGACCAGCTCCAGGGAGAAGAGTCCTTCTTGAGAAACTACCAGTCACTTAGCAACTCAAGATTTTCACAACATTTTGTGGAACCCAAAGATTTGTTACCATGTTCACAAAAGCACTCCACTGCACCTATCCTGAGCCAGAACCAATCAGTCCATCACCCCCCCTCCCTCATCCTATTTCTCTAAGATCAATTTTAATATTATCCTCCCACGTATGTCTGGCTCTTCCATTGTTCTCTTTCTGTCTGTCATTTCCACCAAAAACCTATATGGATTCCTCTTCTCCCATTCCTGCTACATGCCTTGCCCAACTGAAAATTGTAAACAACCAAGGATGTAACATATGTTGTAGCTGATATTTCGCAAAGTGGCAGATGTGCGTCGTGAGAAGGAATTGGCAGAAAGAAGGAAGAATGATCCTCAGCTGGACCAACAGCAGGATCACCTTGTGCGCAAGATTTTCTCAAAGTTCCGTCGAGACCGAGCACAGGCACAACAACCCCCGGCACAGTCACCTGCAGGTTGGACTTTGATGCAGTCTCTGATATTCTTTCTTTAGCTTCAGATTTGCTGAAGTATGGCAGAAAACATTTATCCCATAACTAAATATATTTTGTGTTGGATTAAATAGGTGAAATTGAGAATTAAAAATAGAGCAAATAATATTGTATAAATTGACATATAATGAACTAATTATGTGAGGAAAAACTTGATTTCTTGAAATCATGTAAAGTAGCAAAGAAGGAAGATATTCCATAGATAGTTGTATGTTAAGAGTGTTGTTCTCTAGGCATCAGATGACAGGTTACATTGAGAAGTTTAGTTAATTAGTAGGCCAGGTATGTCTGATGAAATAACTGAATGAGTAGCTGTTGTATGCATTTATTAACATTTAGCCTTGATAGACTATAAAGTTATTCAGTGAAGAGTAGAGTGGCAAAATATGGTATAATTCTAAGAAATCCTCATGCCCCCCCCCCGGGCACTACAGCCCCATTGGGCCTAGGCCTACCTCCATGAACTTCTCCGTTCACTCTTCATGCCTTTGCTTCACAAAAGTCTTTCACTGTTGTGAAATACATAGTTACTTCATAACTTGTTATTTACATATAAGATTTGAAGCTTTAACAGTAAAAGAATGCAATAAAATTTTCTTAGGCCATCATCTGTATCAGTGTTGTGTTGCACTCAACTTTTCAGAAATGTCAGTGTTGAGGATGTTAAATAGAGATCTCTCTGAAACACTGACTTTTTAATTAAGCACTGTTACAGATAATTACCTGAGAATATATATTTTAGGGACTGATGATATCTGTCTTCTGGTATACAACCCTGTGTAGCCTGTTGACATTCAACTGACGTTCTGGAAGATCATGTTAACTCGGACATCAGTTGACTTTCAACAGGCTACATGATGTTATATCCCAGAAAATAGAATTTTTCATGACCATAACTGTTAAAACTGTTTAGGTATTCCTTACACTTCCCATTGAGTAATGAATTATTGAAAGGTACATCGAAATGATAGAGATATGTCTGCTTGTGAAACAGGCAGAAAAAATTAAGTAGGAGTAAATGTAAATCTGTTGGTGATACATAACTTCTCTCACATTAAGAATTGTTATATACTCTGAAAAAGAACTGTGCCACCTTAAATTAGTTTCTACGTGTAATTCCTTTTGGAGTGAATATTTTATGATATTGGTATTTAGTATTTCTGATATTGCTTCATTGAATCTGTTCATGACTGTCATTAAGGTATGCATAAAGGATTATTTTTATTTCCTTTTATTTGTGTTTATAAGTTTTTCATTTTTCGTCTGTCTAAAATTTTTCAAAGCTTACAGTTTACAGTTGGTGGGTACAGTGAAATATGCCACAGCGTTTGTTCTTCATTCTTGTGACACTATATGTAGGTTGTCATTTCTTTTCGTAGAAGTATTGGCCTGGTGAATAAATATATTTATCTGACACTTTATTCAATATATTTTAAATATTAGTCTCTATCATGAAATTGTACCAACATGCTTACAGGCCAGCAGGGTGACTTAGAGCGTGGGGACTTGGCAGTAGGTGCTGGTGCAGGGGATGGCACAGCAGGAAAGTCTGTAGTTCGGGTCTTGTCAACCACCAAGCTGTCTAGTGTAGCAGAATCAGATCATGGAAGTAGCGGAATTGCAGGGGCCCTAGTGGCAGTGACTACGAGGGGCCAGCGTCCTACAACAATCCGTACCAGCAAGTGGGGGCGTTTACTGGGGAGCAGCAGTCTCGATTCAGGAAGTGAATCTGTAAGCAATAATAATAACACCATTGGAATCCAGCGTTCTATGTCAGCCAGGGACCATACAAATGGAAGTAGTAAAGACAAAGCCCTGTCATTATCAAGTGCTGGTGGAAATACATCGACAGGTGGTACAGCAGCAGGATCAGGTAACAAAGTGTTCCCCAAACTGCAGAAAGTCACTACAACAACAACAACAACAACAACACCTACATCTGTAGCACCTCCACAGATAACAAGACAGGACACTATTGATGAAATCGTGGAGTTGGAAGATCGTGCAGGTGCAACTCCCACAGCCAGTACCAATTTGAGAAAGGTAGATTCATATGATAGTGGCATACTCCGTAGCTGTGATCAGAGACTAAATGAAGCATCTTCAGGTGGTCTTGTTTTATACCAGCAACCAACTGGAACAGCTGTACCACTGGGAATTGCTGCAACAGAGTACAAGGAAATTATTTCTAACATCATGGATTTTAAAGTTGATGTGAAGTTGGAAGTTCAGAGATTAAATCAAAAAGTAGGACGTATGGAAGAATTGTTAACAGAACTCATATCTAGGTTAGGTCACACAGCTCCTGTAGGAAATTCCACAGCATCTTCAGCCTCTTCCCAGTCTCCTCCACAGGAGACTGAAGGGGGCCCAGAGACTCAACAAGCAGTAGGCACTATACAGTTACAGAAGAAGCTTGCACCAGCAAGAGTGTCATCAGCAGTGACTGGTGTATCTTCAGTGTCTAGTTCGGTGGGAACAGGGGAAGGAACAAGTACTTCAGGGACTGGCATGGGAAGCATCTTACTCCGGAAACGTCGTAGCAAGTCAAGAACAAAAGCAGCAGCACCTGCAGCTCCCACAACCACATCTACAAGTGGAACTTCACCGAGAACATCGCCTACTGAGACAACAAGAATGCTGGAAGATCAGGATCAAGGTGCAGCAGATGCAACTTCTGCATCACCACTTCCATCCACATCCAAAGGTGAAGATGAGACAAGACAGTTGAGAAGATCCAGAGAATTCCTTTAGCAGTCCCCCTTTCCACCCTTAATATTGAGTGGCCTAAGTATAGAAAACATGTACTTAGGATTTAAACATCACTGTGTGACAGGAACATGGACTAAAAGTCTCTTCTAATAATTAAGTCTGCAAGAAGTGAAGGTGCTTATCACACTATAAATAAATTCAAATTATTTGGATTATATTCTTAAACTACACATAACCACATCCTATGAGAAACAGTAAAATTCATGTAACATAGACAAAGTTGTTTTCTCTGCTCTGCCTACCACTAATTTTAGAGCATACACTAGATAATAATTAAATATAATCTCGGGTGCTCTTCTTAAAGTACCAAGGTTTTAAAACACCAGAAATGGCTCTTCTAAGACTGAAAGAATGACTGTAGACTTCTGTTTTCAAGCTCTAAGTTTCAGGGATTACAATTGTTATTTGTCCCTGAACTAAAAGTGGTAATCTTAAGAAACTGACAGACCTGCTACTTGAAAACCTAATTGAATGCGTTCATGACAGTACAGAATATTATGCATTTCAGTGGAAAAAGTTCATTGTCTTCAGCTAAAGCTTCTGAAGTTACCAACTTAATTTGCTTAAAATGTAAATGTTATTCCCCACATTTCAAACTTCTAACTACTGTATAAATGAAAATATGCTCATTTTAATTGTCTGGTTGTTATGATTATGCACTAAAGCTCACTCAGGAAGTTCTTCTTTAAGGAAATTTGTCATTTGAGGTTTTCAGGTTACATTGAGATTTGCTTTCTTGCCTGTAGACTTCAGATTGATAGCAAATATATCACAGGTGAATTTATCTTCCCAAATGACTTCAGTAAACTATTTTCAAAATGTTGATATAGTGAACAGTTCATTTGAATCCAGCAATAGAAACCAGGTATAACTAGTTTCAGTTCAGTTAACTGAGTAATAAATAAATATAACAAGTAATATTTTTATTCCATTGGTGGAAAGAAGGGACCCTCTGAATCTAATAGAACAGATTCATCAACACATACCTGAGAATGAAGAAAGTTGTCTTCTGGGTTTAGGCACCGTGTATTCTTCGTTTTGGCCGACGTTTCGGAGGAACGTAGCGCCTCCATCTTCAGAGCAGTTGAATAGCTGCGGAGAGCAGTAGCTGTGGGTTCCTCCAAAACGTCGGCCAAAACGAAGAATACACGGTGCCTAAACACAGAAGACAACTTTCTTCATTGTCATCGCCGTGAAAACCTCAAAACTTACACATACCTGAGAAATCCACATTTTGATAACTGAAATTGTCAGGCTACCTTTATGCTGTGTTTATTACTTCATATTTCTTACAAAATTCACACAAGAACCAGATGCTGAAGAAGTATTTAAGTAAGAAATATTTAGATGCAGTATTTTAGATTTTTAACATTTTATTCATATATTTAGGACAATAATTCTCTTGAAATGTCTGTGCTTGTAGGTAGAAAAACATGCATTCTGTTATGTGCCTCAGATGGTTTAGCATGTCTTTTCTTTCATATTGATTTACTCTTTTCATAATCATTGGTATAAATGAAGTGAAGTTAACTGTTTCATGCAGCAGTGATCAGTGGATCTGAGTCCTTAGCTCCCTAGCTTATGTAGTGTTCTTCATTAGAGCTGAATATCCCACTAGGTGTTTCTGTTAATAGTGGATCATCTTCAAATGGCATGATCTTTGAAATTTTATGGATCACATGACCCAACATGACTGACATAGTTACCTATTTTTTTGCAATATTATGATCATAGGACTTCCAACTCATCACATATTCTTTGAGCATAGCAGAGCACCACACCTGAAGATAGTATGATATAAACCAAAATGGAGAATTTGATAAGCAGATGCATACAGCTGAGTCCTTATTACCTGATCCTAGTCCTTTTGAGGCTGAAGTTGCTAATGCAGCAGTGTGCTGAGGAGAATATTTGAACCAAAGTGACAAGTGGTTAGACAAAACTCACAATGAGGAGCTTCATAACTTGTATTCTTGGCCAAATGTAATTAGAATGATCAAGTCAAGGATGATGATTTAAGATACTGGTGTGATAGCCAGCGTGTTACGACATAAGTATGTATTCATTTTGAAAAGTGATTGCTCTTATATACTCAACAGTACCATACATAAATTTATCATAACAGACAATTCATAATTTAAAATGCTTGAGTTCTATCGAACAAAATCTACCCTCTTAAGTTTATGTGCTGTGACAAGTGGCAGTACTTAGTCATCTGTTATACTTGTCATCAAAATATATGTGATAACAAGTCTTTAAGATTTTCTATGAAGAACTGTTAGGACACTGAAAATGGTAAAGAAACATGGAATAGTGAGATGCTGTTTAGTTTCCGTGTATTGTTGGCTTCAATTCTGGGGCAGAGTGATAAATCAGATGGATAATACCTTCTGATATAAATGGCTACCAAAATCATGGTTCACCCAACACCAGTTCAGCTGTGTCACAAACCACAAAGTTATTATCTTTACTGCTGTCCATTCTCTTGGTACACACAGCATCACAAATTTGTTTCAGATTTTACTGTTAAAGTATTATACAAAGAAATAAGCCAGCTTGTGTTCCAAATTACATAATTTGAGCAGAGCAAAATGAATACGGATCTCATCATTTTATTTCCATTCTATATGCATATGATAAAACAAACTGATTTTTTTAGCAACAAACAAAATAGAAAGGAAGATGATTTGAGGTCCTTTTCCTTCTTTTTGATGCCAGCTGTACACTATAGGGAGGAAGTGATTTCAGAACATAGAATTTAGGCTTACAGCTGAGTGCATGTGTGAAGTGGAACTGCTTTTAAGTTGTTCATAAGGTATCTGCAGACAAAAATTAATTTTATGAGCATCACTAGTATAAAATACTAAAATATGGAATGTGTATTTCACAGAATTCTTGAAGTATTAATGGAAAACAAATTCAAAACTGGTCATAATTACATATGTTAAGAATTAATAGGAACAAGAAGTAGTAGGAACATGAAAGGCATCATACTGTAATCTAACATACAACTACTGTAATTTGCAAACAGCCCTAAACTCCATCCTTCTGTGATGTGTTGGGTGTGTGGGTTACCAAGGTTGGGTGAGGTAAATGTATGATGGTGTTAATTTGGGCTCCAAGAGATATTCCTCTAAAGTCAGTCATAAGGAATGTTTCAAATGACAGTGAATCAGGAATAGGAGACTACTATAACTATAACTGCAACTGAATACAGCATGACTTTACTTGGTGAACACTTATTTTCTTGCTTTCTACTCTAAACTAATATTTATTGAATATGCAAATACAAGTTATGATCTGAATCATTAACTGAGAGGTATCTGTTGATATGGTTTACACAGATTATACTTCTAAATATATGACAATTGTTTTGAAAGTTTGATAACTATTCCCTCTTGCTACCTTTGATTAATGACTTGATACTGCACCCATTGATCATCTTCCACCTTTAACCTTTCAAAAATTTCTCACAACATAGTTTTATCCCAATATACATACGTAAATCTTTCCTCAGTCAAACTGAAATTGCTTTAATGACACAAAGTGGATGGATGTGTGAACACCGTGTAATCCAGTCACCACAGATCTCAAGTTGTCAGTTATAAATAAGAGAGATATTCCCCATGTCCAAATCTGGGAACCTGGAAAAATATCACATGTTCCTGAAAATTAGTTTTGCACCTTCCTACCAACAGCAATATAGTTTAGATTCCTGAGCCCCAAGTAATAACTCTGTATAATTTTGGAAAGCATTGTTACATTTGTAACACACCAAATCCTTATAACTAAACCTTCACCCGTTCAAAATATGTGTTCTAAGACTCCTGTTGTCACAAACAGCACACAAACATTTCTAGATTACTACATGTTGTAAGAACCTTCAGACATCCCGGTTATAAACTAAAGATATGTGTGACTGGGACTGAACACCTGACACCTGTGCGGAATTTTAAAACCCTTTTTACGCAGTATGAAACACTAGCTGATTAGAATTTCAAGAAGCTAACAGTGTTAATATCTTTAGGTCTTAAATGTTGGTGGGGCCCAGACCTTCCAGCCTTTACAGACTAGCCACCCGCAGTGTACCCCAGAACTTGAAGTACGCAAAGATAAGTAATGTTTCAGTGTAGACATAAATTTTATTACCTATTATGGCTGTAAATTATTGCCTATTCTTGTCATAAACTCCAGTAAGTTCATTTTTCTCTGGTTCAATGCTAGCTGTCTCGACTTGCACATCACTGAGCTGGTGCCAGTTGCAGCATGCGCACACTTTTCTTCATGAGAGCACTTCTTCATATTTCTACACAGTGTACGATTCGCATGCGACAAATATGGAGACAATCCAAGGATGACAAATTAAGAAGAAAAAAGAAATGTCAATAAACACATCCAAATTACACCTTTCTGTGAATAAATTTTGCAATTTTGTGTAAATTTTAGGATCATCGAAATGTGCTAAGAAATAGAATATATTTTCATTCCCATCATTACCAAATTAGCATCTGGTTGGGGCCTTTGATGATAACTGGAATGTTTCTTACTTTTTTTTGCTTGACAATAGAACATAACTGAAAGCTGGTTCAGCTTCAATTATTTGTTTGTAGTAAAAAAGTAATGGATGTTGTACCATATAAAAGAGAAGATCTAGGAATTTAAGCAATTCAATAGAAAGGGAACTACAGATTATACAAGAGAACTTGAAATCATTAGGAGGAAGGCATATGAATACAGTATTTATATTTTATTTCTTGTAGCAAAACTCAAACATTCATATTGTAACGTGTTTTGCTACTGAAGACGCCGTTCGGATTGTTAATTGGTTTATTTAACAACCTACAAATCGTACTACAAATACTTATAACACTGTTACGGGTTTACACACTTTACAACCCTACACAATAATCTAGTCACTCTGTCTTCAGTAGTCTTCACGTATTTATAACATTTATAACATAAGATCTTCTAACCATGCGTTCAGGTCTTTCCGCGACTGCTGCTCTATTTCAACTGTCTTCGGCGGCTGCTACATTTTAACTGACTCCTTAGGCAGTGCAGTTCTCTGATAAACCCTCAGCCAGACAACAGAAAACGCCTCGCCTCCCTGTTGCCTAGTTGCCGTGTTTACAGGTGTTGTCGCCTGTTACGTCACAGTGGGAAGCGCTGCCTTGTCATCGCGAGGGAGGGGACGGAGTGTTGACTGGCCCGTCACCGTAGCAGCGGCAGCGCTGTTACGCCACCGCTGGCAGGAGAGAGAGCATCCTGCATAGCGCAAATACATCACACTGCTCCCTTCTTAAGGCTGTTCATCCCGAATAGCCTAACGGTACATCCCCGTTCCTTTTATTTGCAGGCTGTTCTTGCAACGTCTTCTTTCTTGTCCGGCTACTCCTCTTGCAGTGACTATCCTCTGTCCGTTACATCCGCTCCCCTCTTAAGACCAGCTTGTCTCGAGCGGTTTCCTTTTAACTTGCCAGAAGATCCAGCTGTATCACATTCATCCATCGCACATTCACTTTGCTCGGGAGGCCGGTGCTTCTATTTTACCGGCTCCTCTTCTGTATTCTGCTTCTTTTGCGTTTTGGAGGGGGTCGATCCCTCCATAGTGTCCAGTTTTTGATGTTCATATCTGCTGGGATTCCGAGCAGCACGTCTCCTTGTGCACTTGCACATGCCTCGAATTTTCCTTTTATGACGAGTCCTTGTGTCGTCCTCTCATGTTCAAGTTCTTCTCGTACTTTCGTTGACACATCTTTATGCGGGCTTGTGCGTGACTCCAATTGATCTCCCTGGAGTCTGAGTCTCTTGAGCCATGCCACTGTTGCACGGCGGGACACCTTCCTGCAGGAGGCAGCCAACTTCATCCGGGATCCACAAATTCCTCCGGTTGGTTTCTTTGGCTCTCCATGTTGCCCTGCAGCTTGCTTCTTGCTCCTATACCGCTTCTTCTGTCCTTTGACCGGTTTCACTACGGCATCTTCGTTGAGGACTTCTCGTTGTTGGGACACCTCAGGTTTCCTGTCCACTGAGGTCGGCTCTTTTTCTTCTAGACATGCCTCCATCTCTTGGCAGGCCATCATCTCTCTTCTGGTATCTGTTGTTTCTTCTTCAGGTTCTACGACCGGTATCACAATGGGGACCACTTCTTGTTGTGCCTCCTCAGGTTTCATGTCCACTGAGGCCGGCTTTTCTTCTTCTAGACGTGCCTCCATCTCTTGGCAGACCTGTTATATCACAGTGGGAAGCGCTGCCACGTCACAGTCGGGTAGGGGGCGGAGTGTTGACTGGCCCGTCACCGTAGCAGCGGCAACGCTGTTACGCCACTGCTGGTGGGGTAGGGGGCGTCCTGCATAGCGCAAATACATAACAGTATTAATAGTCTTATGTCTTGTTACACACTACACAGATACTTCTCAGTAGAAACATATATTTAAAAAATGTTAGGCATGTATCTTTTTATTTTGACATTCTTTATGTGATGTAAGATAAAATGAGATGTTACATGAAGATAAAGTTGGGATTCTGACTGCTAGGATTCTGATTATTATTTTAGAAAAGCTTATTGTCACTTAGTTGGAGCAGGGCCTTATTGACCTTTTGCAATGCCTGAGCAACAAGGATTTCTATACATATATACACCCCTTTCATTAAATACGGGAAGTTGTAAATTGTATTTCTGCTGTAAGTAAAATGAGTATGGTGAAATTGGTATTGTCAAGATAACGTTTTTTTTGTTATGATATTTTGTATGCCTGAGTGTTTTAAAATTAGTTTATCCTGTCATGTGTAACTGTATTTCAAAAACTCCAGAATCACCCATCCAAAACTAAAGTACCAATTGTTGTTGCATAAGTTCTAATTAAAATACTAGGCTTTCATTCGCCTTTAGAAGCTGGGCTTGGGGATTTTATACCACTTGGTACTCATGACTTTTCAACTCAGGGTACCAGTGTCAGTAATGGAAAATTGAAATGCTTAGCCAACTGGGTCATCTCACATGCTATTATTAGCACAGCACAAGGTCAGTAAAAATAACTGATTATACTCCCCTTCTGATGTGGTAAAGTAAAGTTGTCCTGTGCTTAACTGGTTAAACACTAAGTCATGAAAACATATGGGGGAGTAGACACATAGATCCACTTCTTGACTTCAGCACTAGATGGAGGTCAGTGGTCAGCTTGATACTCCTGCCACTTTATCCCCAAGAAGTGAGCTGATAGTAGCCATTGGATAGGAGGGCGGGTGGACCCCAAAATCGATATGGATGATCAAACTTCGACCTCTTGGCAGTCCAGCCCATAGGCAGTCACTATACAAATTGCGCTATCCCGGCTCCCTCCTTTCTGTTCTGATACTTGTGTCTGTTGTTACCTGGTGATCTCTGAGACAGAGAATTTAGAGAATAGTCCATTTATTTTACGAAAAATTGGATGAGATTGCTCTGTTTCTTTGTTAAATATTGCGAGGAGTTGAATACTGCATATGTCTATAATTTAGTCTTTGAAGGCCATTTATATGAAGATGATTCTCATTAGTTTTACTGTTGACTTTTACTTCTGCTGTGAGATGATAATTACCTCACCAACTGGTTTCAGTTTCGATAATTTTTCAATATTTAGTTTAATAACTCTTTCTATAGTATAGTTTCATGCTTTTGGATTTGTAAAAACATAAGAATTTCTGTGTTCTGGGTTGTGGTCCCACGTAGTTTTGTAAAGACTCCTATTCTGAAGATGAAGGAAGTAAATTTATCTCAAATGTAGTACCTATTTACCACACTATCTTCACAGTCACCATCATGAGAACCTCAGGTATCATGAGAAGTCTTATTTTCTTCATATTGATGGAAAAGGGGTGATCATCAGTTTTAGAACCATTAAGACTATTTTTAAAACAAAATTTCTCCTGCTTTCAATTTTGTTGTAACATTATGTGTAAATAATTTAAATTAGTGAAGTGTATGGGCAATCAGAAGCTTTTTTTGGTAACATATAAATCATTTTAATGTACAGGATGGGGCACAGAAACTTCCTTTTTTGAAGGCGAATAAAAGAAAAATTATTGCTGATAGACAAAATGTATGAACTTTAAAGTTTTAAATCATGTAGTTTTAAACTAAATATCTTGAAGGTGGTGGCCACCGTTCTCTATGCACTGATGCAACCGTTTTCTGAAGTTCTCTTCTGCACGTTCCAACATGTNCATGGCACCATCCTGTTGGAACCAGACATTTCCTAGATGCATTTCTCCAAGAGGTGGTTCAAAAAAGTTTTTAATCATGTCCACATACCACTGTGAATTGATAGTAACTGCATGATTGTCTTCTTAAAAAAATAAGGGCCAATAACTCCAACTTTCAACAACACACACCATACTGTTGCCTTACCACTGTGAAGTGGCCTCTCATGGAGCTCTCTGGGATTGTGACCACTCCAATTCTGCTTGTTGACATATCCGAATAGGTGAAAATGTGCCTCATCACTAAAGAAAATAAGTGCGTCAGGGGGTAAAGTTTCCAATAACGTTTCACATGCCATTATTCGGTTCTGGAAATCACATGGTGACAATTCTTGCACAACAACCATCTTATAGGGATGGAAATGAAGATGTTTGTGAAGAATTCGGCACATTGAACGATTGGATATGTCTAGGGTGACTGCAAGTTTGCGAGCAGAGCATCGTGGAGATCTCAAAATCGACTGTCGAACTGCCTCCACATTTTTTGACATCATAACAGTCCGTTGTCATCCTGATGATTTTTTCACCACACTCCTGGTTGTCCTAAAGTTCTCTACCCACAAAACAATCGATTTCTGGTTGGGAACTGGACCTCTGGGCTTAATTCCGAAGTGAATACGGAACACACGCTTCACCGCCACGTAGGAATGGTTGTTCAAAAAATAGGCTTCGACAGCAAACGCACACTGCTCACTCGTCCACCTCATGTTTCCTACCGTTTCCTACTGAGGGGTATTAGACAGAAACTTCTGCGACTGCATGCATTCGCCGAGCTCATCCCCACTTTTCTACGACCTCCCCTCCCTTCACAATGCGTCTTCACAAAAAGGAAGTTTCTGCACCCCATTCTGTATAAGGGTGTAAGAGCAAGAATCATAGAGCAGGAGATAATATACTGTGATTTATACAGAAAATTAAGACAGACCTTTAGAAATTGGACACTGAGAAAGAAATTTGTCATTAATCCCGCAAATTCATATTTTATTAATGAAGTACTCCCTAAAATTAATCCAGATTTTAACATCCATGAGAATATTATTTAATGATGATTCAAACAATTATTCACCTTCTGCACAATTATAGGCTCATTACATGGTTTGCTGATTATGCTAACAGAAGTTTAAAGTTTAAAATATGAACAGTGTAAAGTGTGTCTCATTTTACAAAATGTACTTTTTAAATTGTTCTGCAGCTAAAATGTGTTACCACATTTATATAATAAAGGCATAAAATAAGAGTTTGCATGATAGTTCATTTATTATGCCAAACAATTTTGAATGATGGTCATACTTGAGTTTACTATGTGTATTTATGTGGTGCAACAACCCTGTAAGGTTATGTATTTTCACAACATTATGAAAATATTTATTGCAAGTTTTCTGAATATATATGTTTAATACTCCCCCATTCTCATCCTAAGAAATACCTTAGTATATCTCTTACACAGTGCACTTATATTGAAGTTGAAAGGATAGTCACGTATACCATAATTTCTTTCATCGTACCCAGAATGCTACACACACTTATTAACTTCCAGCATAGCATTGGACTTTTACCACTTGTCAATACAATGTTCAGAAGAAGAGAGCAAATTTTAAAATGTTACGTGAAAAGTAATTGCCCTGACCTAAAATGAGAGAGTATACTGTGAGCAAAGTTATTTCTGTCATGCCCTGAAAAAGTTAGTTTCATATTGAACTGTTTGATTACGACATAAAGGTGAAGCTATTTCTGCAACAGGCCATGGAGGCCTATAGGGTTTTGAGACATCGAGGCTCCCACATTTTCTAGACAATCAGCTCATGGATGGCGGTAAGGTTGTCAGCCTTACATGCCGGCCGCCCCCAAGAAGATTCCTGTTACTCATTTCTCTTAGAGACTGAATCGACTCCAAGGCCATAGTGCTGCTGTCTGGAAGGATTATGTCAATTGAAAAATTCAGAGACCTCATTGGAAATCGAACACATAACCATCTGGTTTGTTGCTTAGTGCCTCAACCAACTATGCTATTGCACCATGCTTCAAAGAAAGGAGTAATATGTTGGTTGACAGAACTTACTATACTCCTACCGTTATCATCATTGCAGAATATAACAAAGTTAACATTCCTAAGAAGATATTAAATTGTTTTCATTAATAGTTATATAATTTAGAGACTATGGAAGCATATCTAAATTGATATTTTATTTTCATAAGAGAAAATTTATTTGACTAATTTAAAACTTGTATCAAGCTGGAGTCATTCCTAATTTTCCTTTGAATATTGTAATACTGCTTCCTTATTTTTGTGTCATAAATGTTTATGTTACATTCAGTTTCTAAACACTTGCAAAGAGCCTGTTTTTATATTAGTTTCACTCTGATAATATTTGGCAAGAACGTGTATGCAAGTTGAAGACAGAGTATGCTGATTGAATGTGGGCATTCATTTCATGCGTTTCAGTCAAAATTTACAAGTATTTATTCAGCTTTAATAGTATTTTGAAGAAATGAAAAGGTATATATGTGTAGAGACTAAATTTCAGGTAGAAAAAATGAGGTTTAATCCAAATGCAAGATGCAGAAAAGTTGGGAATTATTTTAAGAATATAATACTGATATTTGCTCTTGTTCATTTGGTTTTCTTTCTAAATGAAATTATGTGCTTATATGAAAGTTTATAGTGAGTACCTTGTTAATTTTTATTGAAGAGAAGTAAAGCATGTTAGTAGGTAGCCATTCACATTTAATACCTTTAATCACAAATTACAATTCTGTAGCCTGCAATTTTTATATTAAAAATTTGTTGTGATATGAGAACTTAATGTGAACTGTCACGCAAATTCTGTCATAATGTTGAATGTCAGAAAATTCTTATAGCAATACTAATTATATAGTATTTATAACTAGTGATAATTTGAGACATGACATGACTATGGGTCTTAAGGAGGTAATAAATTACTGCATGAGAAGAACAGTTTGCCAACACAAACAAGTAGAAAATGAGTACATTGTGAGGTGATGTGATACTGTTTTCACATGAGTTATTATATTATATTATATTATATTATATTATGTAATTCTGTGCATTAGGCATATGTTTTAAAAAACTATTTTCATTTCTTGGTGAGAGTGGTGATGTAATGAAATAATGTATATGATCTCTTGTTGCTGTTTTTCAGATTAAATTTGTAATATCTGTGCTATAATTCAGGCATTTAGTCACCAGTTTCCCACCATGGCAGCCTGGGCCCATTCCTAGGTCATAACCTGTGGGATTTGTGGTGAACAAAGTGGAATGGCAATGGGGAGTGTACTCTGAGTTTCTCCTGCCAGTTCTCATTCCATCATTTGCTCCACATTAATTTATCATCCTGTCATTGATGCTGTATAGTCTTGATCCCGACAGCCTCACAACCAGAATTATAATGAACTTAAAGACATCTCTTAATGGAAACACAAACCATAAGTATGAGTGTCACACTCTGTCATGATTATCAGCTTTGAGTCAAGTTGAGTGCCAGTTGCAATGATTTCTAGTTTTGTAAAATGATTACCTAGCGAATGTCAGTTCCTTGGAGAAGAATAAATTTGTATTTGATGAAATCTATGAAGAATTTTAAAATTGAAATTTCCACAGACCAATAAAATATGGCCCTTGAAATGACTAAACCCTGTGGTCTATCTGTGGGTGTACACTAATGTTAAGGATGTAAAGGAAATCAGGGTGGGACTAAAACACCAAATCAGATTTTGATTATGGGAAAGGAGGGTATGAGGTTTAGAGGCAAACACAAATTTTGATGTATAACAAAAAATTTTGGTAAGGAAATGGCTTTTAATATATTAATATGTGGAATTATACCTTCCTAGTTGTGTAATTCCACTATGTGCAATATATTTTGAGTGGCAAATTGTTGTTCTGTCTTTTCAGAATCTTTGATTCCAGCCCACGTTCTTCTCACTAATGAATTTAAATTATGAAACAGTGTATTATTGTCTGTATTCTGTACTGCATTTTGCTACACATACCTAATAGAGTTCATATTAATTGTATTGTACTATAATATTTTACCATAAATTGATGGTCTCATTGACATGTAGGAAATTAATCTATGGTGATTTACAAAGTGACCATTAATTAACATAATCACTTCAGCTGAAGTTTAATATTCCAACACTAATTATTTTAGCATTCAATGAAAATCAAAGTATTTATGAAATTGCTGCTGTGTCAATAGCTGTAGTGATAAAATGGATATAAAATTTTCTGTACATTTTAAATATTAGGGTTTCAAACAAAATGAGAAAAAAATTGTTGATAAATTTTGTTGGCAATGTTGATATTATTTTTAAACTTGTTATTCATTCTACTTGTTTATCTACTGATATAGCATACATATGTAGCCAGTACCCAACTACTGTAATCTGCATGTTTATCATGTGCTTTCCAGTCAGAAACATATCAATCACCTGCCCAGTCATTTCAAGTTGGAGTAAAATCTATAGTGATATTCTGCTGCATATTACTCACTACCTATGAGTGTGTGTGTGTATATATATATATATTTGAAGCTTCAGGAAACAGAGACAGTGAAGGTAATGCTGATCATGTGCTCAGTAAACAGAATTTTGTTTAAAATTATCTTTTGTAGAACATCTAGCATTCATAATTGTCCAGGTTGCAGTAAATTGATTTCATTGAGTACATAATAAGATGTAAAATTTCTTCTGTATTTTAGCTCAAGAATATGTAGAATTTATTAATCACATGATTATTAACTGTAGAATGCCAATGTTTTGTTTTGAAAGAGATCACTGAAATTATATTTTACTAAATTATTTCCTAGCAAATTTTAAAGTAAGGTGTATATTCACTGTTTGCCTTATTTTTTAACAACACAGCTACTTTATGCCAGATATGCCACAAGCATCCTTGTGTAAATTATGCACACAGAGCCAAGTACAGAGCAAGTACTGCACTGTTTTGCAAGTGTCAGTATAATCACCATGTCTGTAGTAAATAGTACAAAAGAAATTAAGTTGTAGTGGTAGTGATATTATTTTCTTTCTCATCTTGTTTTTTCTTTCCTTTTCTGACAACCAACATGTGGATGAAATTCCCTTTTCCATATTCTTATACAATAACAAATGTTATTATAATGAATTATTTTGTTTTACTTGGCAGGGCTTAGCTAAATATATTACCCTTACCATTTAACCAATGAAGGTGAATTTTCACATTGTCCAGTGCCATCTAGTAGTGATAAGAAAGTAATACTCTGAATATTATCAGATATTCTAAGCCTCTCTTTTAAGTGGATTGGTATTTATTACATATTTCTGAAGTATGTGATTTTCCATTGCTGCTATAAATACACCATAATCATCCATGGAATTCTAATTGAATTTGAAGATAAACTATTGTTTTATGAAGCCAGGCTCATCAAATGTCATACTTTCCTGCTAAGGCATCACAAATAATACTTCAGATCAGTTCAATTATTACAGTGCTTAAAAGCAGGCCTCCAAAAAAATTCAAAGGAAGGAAGCTGTAAACAGACTTTAATAAAGTAGGAAAAAATAAGCACACCAGGGGAGAAAAAGAAGTCAATTAAAAAGGTACTAGAAACTAAATTACATAATTAAGAGTAAGAATTTGAACAAGCAAACATTATACATTATTACTCACATAATTTATAGATTTAATGATTTGGTAATGAATTTTCTATTAAAAGTAGCAATATATATGCAGATTACATTTGCTGAAGAAGAACATTTGACACAAGAATTTACCTTTTCGTGATGCTACACATCAGAATTAGAGAAGTCTGATTAAATCTAGTATGTACGCAAAAACTAACAGTATCAAGAACGGATGAGAAATCAAATTTGCTTATGAAGACTCTGACAAGAAATAGAACATTGAGCTGTTGCCACTTGGATTGAAATTTTGAACGATTCAACCTAGCATTTCATTGTATTTATTGTCAAAGTGCCAATAAGAAACCTACTGTAGCACATGGCAGCATTTTTCAAATTCTGGTGAGTTGGGATGAAACAGTCAATTTAATTCAGTTCAGCCAACAGAAGCTTACTTAAATGTAGACTGCGTTAGAGCATTATAACAAAAATCAAGATCACTGACAGTTGAAAAAGAAAAAGAAATATAATTTAATGTAATGAATCAAACATGATATTTTTTAGATCATGAGTGAAAATGTAATTGAAATGGCTGTGAAAGTAAAACGTACAGTCTAACAAAATTTCACGACCTTTAACAAAATGGGAATGTGATACTCAGTTGTTACACAATTTGTAATTAAAGTTAATACTGTTAGATTTACAACTAAATGCTTTTACTAATACAGAGTTTCATAATGTTATCCAAGCTCCAGTTCTGTACAGAATCAATGTCACACCACAAAACCTTACAATAATCAGCATTCTTCACAGGTACTGTGATATATTATGAGATCATCTGCAAAGGAAAGAAAATTAGAATTATGAATAAATCTACAATTATCATTAATGTAAATATTCAAATACAACAATAGAAACAATGATGATAGCAACAACAACGTCAAGCAGGCTGCAGTAACTATAAGGCTCTCATTTTGTATTTGGGAAGTGCTCAGTTCGAATCTTGGCTATGATGTCATCCATCTTGACATAGGTTTATTGTGGTTTTATTCAGTTACTCCGTGCAGATGCTGGACTAATATCTCAATTACACCACCACTTCCTTCAAAACTCTTTTCATTACACCAGTTGTCAGTCATTCTGTTATTCCATGCCCTATACTTAGATACTGACATGTATGAAAAGGTTATGATGTAAAAAATACGAAATTTGGCATAATAACAATTCCATTATTTAAAGTTATATTATTAATATGTGAAAAACACTCATTTAAAATCTTTAAACTTAGTGACAGTGTACTGCTAGAGAACTTTTGCCTTAGCAGCAAGGAAACTTTCTCAGACATGCTGAGAATTCTGCCACACAGACCAATTTCCTTACACAGAAAAGCTATTGCATAATTATACAAACAGGGTACCAGAATTAAAGAGCAGAGTCAAATGATGAAATTTGATAACATTATTATCAATCCTACATAAATCAAAACTAACATTTGATACAATTGCAACAAATTGTGATTAAATTATGATCAGAATATAAAGTGTCTGAATAAACTAGCCACAAGTGAAACATATTGAAACCAAGATATGCGTCAAAGGCAGTTCTGGATATCCTCATACTGAAAGTACTCAGTATTAGATTATCAAGTTTTGTTTTTTCTAAAAGTTCTGAAAGTTGCCTTGTGGTACAGGAGAGAGATCTTGTGTTGATACTGCTATTGTCTGTTAGGCAAAGACAAACCCCAAAATCTCAGTAATCCCAAGTGTAATACACAGTCATCAGAACATTTTAGATTTTACTAGTTTTAAATTGTTCTTTCCATGACTATTATCTCTAGATGTTTTGTCCTAAGGAAGGGCCAGTGTAATTCTTATGTTTCTTATATCATGTTCAGTAAATATCACCAAAGTTGAAAAATTGCATCCAGATTGTCATATCTTGTTATGCCCATGTTACTATGGCAGACAAAATGTCATCCCAGGAAATCAATTTGTGTTTCTTTATTATCGATTCTTCTACACTATTAAGTTTCTGTGATTTATCCATTCTATAAATTTTTCTGTAATATATTTTTTTTTATTTTTGCTGTGTCTGTCATATCAGCATGGCTATAATTTATGTTTTAATGTAAATAGTATGATGAATTTAGTATCCAAACTAAATGACTGAATCACAACTGCATTTAAGAACCAAATACTGGAAATAGAATTTCAGCATATGTCCATGAATTTTGATTCTGAATGCTAGGTCTGTTTGTGAAAAGGTAAAAACATTTTATATTGTATGAGCAAATGTACAATTGAAATATTTGAGCATTTCTCAGAAAACTGCTGCTCTGTGTATTAGAGAAAAGTGAAACCTTTAAACCTTACATACTCAATCACTATCAAAACACAGAACAAGTCAAAGTGAAATGAGTCAGTGTTAACATTTAGTGTACTCTAAATTTGTGAAAAAATAAGTTTTTGACTACCGCTGTCCTAAGAACAATTTCACAACGAAAACTTTTCTTATACATGGACGAATTAAAAAGGAAAATGTATCGGCTTTAGTCATCATTTCTATGTACTGTCTTAGGGCTTCTATGACAAGAAAGAAAGGAGTGATGTAACTGAGCCGAACATGCTTTATATTTATTCATTGTACATAAAGGATACTGCTATTTATTAATAAAATATGTTATTTCTTCTTAGAATAACCACACCAGCTTTAATTTTTCTGTAAATTGATACCTGTGGTTTTCTCAGATAAGGGAAGAAAATATCTGATGTTGACATGAATTGGACCAGTTCCAGGGCTCACCCAGCCTCCTATCTGATGGGCACCGGGGTCTCTTTTCCGAGGATAAAGCGGCCGGAGAGTGAAGCTGACCACTCACCTCCAACAATCCCGAGGTCAAGAATACCTGGATGTAAACATCCACTCCCCCATACATCTTCATGGAGCAACTTTACCTTTACGTTTGAGATAAGCACAGATATGCATGCAGGGCGTGCAAATCTTCCGATCTAAATGGAATTTTGAACATCTCTATAAATGTAAGAAGACGACTTTCTTCATCTCTATAAATCTTCGTAAAATTTTCGAACCTTAAGTTTTAATGAAGTCTGACCTGTCTGGTAGTAAGAGTTGCTGACTACAGGTCCAGAGGTCCCGGCGCTACCATGTTTTCTGAGAAGTAGTGGGTCTGGAACGGGTTCCACTGGGCCTCTTGAGGATAACTGAGGAGCTATTTCAAGGAAACAGCGGCTCCGGTCTAGAAAACCAAGATTAACGGCCGTAGGGATCCGTTGCGCTGACCATGCCACACCCTCTATCCGCAAAAGTTGGCACTAGTTAGTTAGTTAGTTAGTTATTGGAGAGGGTGGGTTTCCCCATACACTGAGAACTGTATTGGTCCATTGTGCTTCCCTCTATGATTTCTACCAGTCTCTATATCCTACTGGTATTGGTGCTTACCATCAGTCCCGCCCAGCCAGCAAGACCGGCTCTACTAGCTGAGAGGTATCTATAATGCTTCCCCCATCTACCAGAGGTATTAGAGACTGCTGTTGGTCGGGAAACGTCGGTTAAAAAGTTGGCACTAACTTCGCCTACAAGCGGCGGTCGCTTGGTCGGTATAGTTCCCTTGCGGACTACAGGCAACGGAGATTGTTTGACCTGCGGTTGTCGAGTTGTTTTATGTGTACTGTTGGACGGACGAAGCGAAAAAAAAAATGGGTGCTCCTCAAGGCAGCGAATTCGAATAAACCGCAAATTGGATAATTCGCGCAAGGAAAAATGTGAGTACAGTGATAATATACCCGGTTGTAAGGCAGTTCAGATGTGAGGCAAACAGCGAGATTATCTCATGCTCTTAGGTGTAATCACACTGAGGTGTGAGATGAAGGTGCACGAAGGAAAATTAAGTTCCTCATGCTTCATTCTTCTAGGCCAGTGGTTCTTAACTTTGGGTACAGGTACCGTCTGGGTGGTGCAAAACTTGCCAAATCACTTTAAAAGTTAAATAATCGAAAGAATAAATTACGCACAGGTATGTATGAAAAACTGCTTTGTTTCATTAATCTTGCATATTTATTGTACGTTTTTAATAATTACAGTAATGTTGCAATAATCATTTATTTGGGATGAAAGAATTGAGCTATTTGAACGATATTTGGTAAGGACTGTGAGACCGTATTTTAATAAACAAAAGCCTGCAAGCTGCAATACTCGTAAAGGTTAAGAACAACTGCTCTAAGAAAATGTCTTCATAGTACTATCATTAGGCCAGACCACTTCCATGCAAATACTATTCGCTTCATTATTCATAGCTGAATAACAATTTACCGGAATTTTTGTCTCCAGCAATGCCCGTCACCACTATACACAGGGAAATCATAGCATAAGCGTTGGCAAAGCTGAAGTACCTACGGACTACATTTAAAAAGTGGAATCACATTTCAGGTGAAATCATTATCAGAATTACAAATCTCTTTCATTTCGAGCTGAAACTAAGTGGCATCAACACGCAGCAGTTTCAATTGTGGCCAGCAGGTGGCAGTAATTACCGTAGCTTGGGACCGCCATCAGCTAACTTCAATATCTTCCGCTAGATAGTAGGAGGTGTTCTATTATGTTTTACGGAAGAAAGTCATCCTCGGTCATCAGGGTCATCATGGTCATCATGTCTATTCCAATTCAAGGGGCGACGGTAAGCAAAAAGTATGGTTTATTAGTTGCCGGCATGTTTAAATTTTCCTTCCTCTTTATTGTAAATAAAAAGGTACTGAGAAGAATATTTTCACGTAAGAGGGACGAAATGATAGGGGCAGGGTGAGAAACTTCATAAACCGCGAAATGCTTTCAGTATCTTATCAAGGAAAATAGAATGGGCAGGCAGGGCATATCGCAAGCATGGGGCAGAAGAGAAGTGAAGGGTCTGATTAAAAAAAAAAAGACTGAATGAAACAGGGCACTAGATGTGAGCAGAAAGGTAATACTAAAATTGATCTGAAAGAAATAAGATGGGGGTGTTCACTGAACTCAGGCTCAGGATGAGGACCAGTAGCTGGCTCTTGTAAACACAATACACTTGGTCATCGACTTACGACCGACTTCCGTTCTGACTGACAGGTCGTAAGTCGATCTAGTCGTATGTCGGCCATATATTTATAAACAGTATTTTTTAACCTTTCTAATCTTTTTCTCATCTTTGTAATTTATTTTTAAAAACTTTTGCATTTTAATCATCTTTTATTTGTCATTTTTTGAGGTCGTAAGTCGACGACCAAGTGTATTGAACATTCGGATCGCTTGGGATTGCATCAAATGCTCGGTATTTCTTCAGAGGTTGAGCAACTGTTGATGTCTCGTAGACTCAGCTTCATGAAGTGAATTAATTTACTGTAAAATGTCGTCCGTTTTATAAAAATCGGAAATTTTGATATATTGCAATACTGTTCTTGTGAGAGATTATGTTTTAAAACATCAAGTCTGATTTCTGCATTCCGAGCGAATAGGAGAAAAATATTTTCTTCCCATACTTTGACGGATTAGGTCTCTGGCCTGTTCCATTCAGCATTAGTACCGAAACTATGAATCTTAGAGTCAGTAGGACTCCTTGGACGGGGGATCAGCCCTGTCGCAAGGCCGCCACCTACACAGGAAAACACAAATAGAGAATAAACGTGGACATTGAAACCACGATCCCAGCGAAGGCATTTCATGCCTTAGACAGCGCGACCGCTCGAATCGGCTCGAGAAAATTATTGCTCTGCTACTCTGCAACTGCATAACTGCTTCTTCTGAAACTAGAATTACTGCCAGAAATCAATTCACTTCATATACTTCATTTGACAAGTCATTAGTTAATTTTTGTTTAAGGTGGCAATGGTTATGTGAATTTCTTATTGCTGGGCTTTCCGTGAGGGCAGACAGGCAGAAGCGAGCCCCACACAGAACAGTTAAGAATGGAAGGAGCGAAGCTTCCTTACGCAGCAAATGGATAACTGGCAATTATGTTGTGCTATGAGCAGAAGTGCTGTATATAAACTGTTAACGCAGATTAGAGAGCAAGACAGTTTTTCATGTTCTTTCAAGAATTTTTACGTACGAAAGAAGGTTTTTGCTAAGTCTGGTGCTCTGATCACAAATATGACCAATGGGAATTTGTAACACTTAAAGCTGCTAGTTATCCTCTAGGGTTTTTATGCGAAACATGTCAACTCATATGCACTTTTTGGATTTGGATTTCTCACAACCGTGACTGTGGAAAGTACTATCTTATCGGTAGAGGTTACTCAAGTTGTGAAGATACGTACTGCCTCTATCTTCAAAGTTGAAGAAAACCCTAAACAAGAGACTACATACTTCTTGCTGGTTTCTTTCTTGGCTTACACTCCGACCCTGAAGATCAAAGCGCTGTTTCCCTCCCCAACTTCCGTGGACTTCTACCGAACTGCACGGCGTTATATCCCAGATGATGGCAGTACATTTCTCAGATATTCCTATTATTACTATTCCTATTTTGTTCGCAAATAGAACAGAATTACAGCAACATTAAGAGAGGTGGGAATACAACGGCGAAAGGAAATCATACCGTTTCGCCTCACGTGGGGGCTTGTCTTGGCCGGATTGGAATCAACACGTCAGATTTAGTTTCAGAATTCGGTGAATGTTCGGATGAAATTTTGGATGGGGGAGGAAAATGGGGAAAGGCGTGGGGAAACAGGTAGCATTTGTGGGTAAATTAGCATTGAATGCCACTGTTGTACGTTTAGCAAGGCTCCACATGTAAGTATTAGAAGAATTATATACTTCGCTAACAGTGTTAAGGACAGTTGCAATTTGGGATCTGGACGGCCGACGGAAGGAAATGGGGAAAGTTCATGATTTACTCCATGGAAGAACATCAGCGCGTGCTGCCTGTGTGACGGAAAAAAAAGGAGAATAACAGGAAGAAGAGAGTGCTGGAAAGGAGAACATTGCTGGAAGCAGGTGAGACAGATGCATTAAAAGTCGCGCTGGGACGACAAAGGCTGGAGGGGGTGGGGAAACAACCGGACGACCCAAGTTGAAGAACTGGAAAGGCTGGGAACGGGAGATACACAGTGTATCCAGGTTCTGTTAGGACTGTGGTCATTAAAAATACAAGACATGAATTATTTTCAAAATTTCACTCTTTTTATTCAAACTTAGTCTCCTTCTGAATCAGTACATAGCTGGAATCGATTGAAAAGTTTTCGAAAACGGTCACTGTACTTCTTTTGTGGAATCGCATTTAAAACTGCGGTAGATTCCTTTTGGATGTCCTGGATGGTGTCGTGACGGTCTCCTTTCATCGCCAACTTAACTTTTGGGAACAACCAGAAATCTGCTGCAGCCAAATCTGGCGAATACGGGGGATGATCAAGGACTGTGACCCCTTTTCTGGCCAAAAAATCGCGCACGATCTTCGATTTGTGTGGTGGGGCCTTGTCGTGGAGGAGCAACCAGGAATCTTGCTCTCGATATTCAGGTCGAATTCGAAGAATTCTCGCCCACAAACGATTGAGGACTCCGAGATATTAATCAGAATTGACTGTTTGGCCTTCTGGCAGAAATTCCTTGTGAATGATTCCTTTGGAATCGAAGCAAACGGTTAGCAGTGTCCTTACTCGACTCTTTTGCATGCGCACTTTCTTTGGTTTCGGCTTCTTTGGGCTCAACCACGCTGCACTCTGCCACTTTGTGAGAGGCTCATGTTGAAAACACCATTTTGTATCACTTTGGGCCGACTGTAACATGTCTTTGCAATGTTCCACTCTGGCATGTTTTTCATCGCCTGAGAGCGCGTACGGTACAAACCGCGCACAGACCTTCCGTTTGCCCAAATCCTCGGTCAAAATTTGATGCACAGTTCTTTTTGGTATTCTCAAAAGCTCCTCGATGAGTCTTGCAGAAACACGTCTGTCTGATATAAGAATTTCGATCACATATTTTACATTTTCTTCAGTGCCACTTGTTCTCGGCTTTGATGCACGTGGAGCGTCTTCAATGTCCTCCCAGCCGTCACGAAATACAGCATACCACCGAAAAATGTTCGAGCGACTCAAACAATCCCTACCGTACACACTTTTCATCATTTCGTATGCTTCTCCAGCTGTTTTGCCTAACTTCAAACAAAATTTGATGTTGGCTCTGTGTTCAACCGCCA